ATTAATTGTAAGCTGTGAAGCTTTAGATTAATCCATTGTCTGCACTCTCCGCTGGAATAGTAAAATTGTCTGATGTTAGACAGAGTAAAAGCAGGGGCATGCCGACAAGGGATGAGACAGCAAGAACTTGTTGTGGGCCCCTGGCATTGTAGGCTCTTACATGAATCATGCCAATCTAGATTTATTATATTTAAAAGAAATATATGTCTAGAGCAATTTTATTTAAACATGAACAAGGGAGATACATATAATTAGAGAATATACAGATACATCTTCAATTTCTTTATTTATCAAATCATGGATGTCATGTGGCCAGTACGTGTAACACAACTAGGCATATACTATAATAGAAAGAGGTTGTTACATGTGTCACAATGCAACTTAATGGTTTAGCATATTCACATGATATTAATTAAGGGGGTGAGTTCCATTTAACTATTCAACCAAGTGAAGCATGGTTCACATATACCTGCTGTTTATTGATGCGCTATTGTTGTTAAAACTTCAACTAAATAATTCACAAAAGAATGTATGCATCAACAGCTGTAAACAATGATAATGCAGGCATATGTAAACCAGGCTGAAGATGCCAACAAAATCTTGATTTCTGTAGTAATCAAATTTCTGTAGTTGATATTTCCAAGTTGTTATCTCTCCTCACTTATTGAAATGGTTGCTTCAACAGAAAGATCTTTTCCTTTTATATATCAATTCACTTAACATGTTGCCCAATGTCTGATGATTTGACTAAAATTAGTAAAATATAATCAAAATGTCAACCCCTTCATATAAATAAACATGCCAAAATAATATTCCAGAAAAGAATATAATTTAATATAATCCCTTTATTAAACATTATACCTTTCGTATCGTTCCATTCTTCATTTTGCGTTCGAAATTATGCCAGATAATTCCCTCAAATTGTAGTTCCTCGGCTGAACAATTGATACATTGTAAACATTTGGCTGCTTCGAGCGAGCGATTCAATTAAATTTGCACGTCGTTTTTAGACCGCGAGAGACATTGCGATATATAATCCTTTCAATTGACCAACTAATTTTAGTATAACTTCAATCTTTCGATGCATTATAAAACATTTTTAAAGTTAATACTCGCAAGCTTCGCTCTGAACAATTGATACATTGTAAACATTTGGCTGCTTCGAGCGAGCGATTCAATTAAATTTGCACGTCGTTTTTAGACCGTGAGAGACATTGCGATATATAATCCTTTCAACTAACCAACTAATTTTAGTATAACTTGAATATTTCGATGCATTATAAAACATTTTTAAAGTTAATACTCGCAAGCTTCGCTCCTCGCCTGAAGATTTCAAACTGAATATTTAATTAGGGTCAAAAGCCTACTTAGGGGGTGGGGTACATTGACACGGCCACTAAGGTACATTGACACGTCCATTTTGTTCGATTTATGGCAGGCCTCTCTCCCAGAAATTTTTTTTTTCAAAACCCATTCGCAGGCTAGAACCCGTAGAGAGGCCTGCGGAGGAGGCTAGTTGACAGTATCGAATGCTTTCTTTAAATCGAGAAGAACAACTATGTTGTATCGGCCACGGTCCATGTTAATATACCATTCATTAGTACAATCTAAAAGTGTGGTAGTTGTGGAATGAAATTGTCTAAAACCAAACTGATGTTCTGAAAGAATATTCTGTTTCTTTAAATAATCATACATTTGGTCGTACAGAATCCTTTCCATCACTTTGCTGACCACAGGTAAAATTGAAATTGGTCTATAATTGTCTAACATAGTCCGTTGGCCTTTTTTAAAAATTGGAGTTACTCGTGCTGCTTTCCACTCCATCGGGAATCTGTCAGTGGCAATAGACATATTAAAAATCCTTGTTAGAGGCTCTGCAATAGCAGCAGCTGCAGCCTTTAATACTTTAGCTGAAATTTCGTCGATACCTGTAGCTTTGGAGATAGTTAGTTTGGTTATAAGTCTATAAACTGTTGCAACATTTACAGGTTGGAAACTAAATCTCTCAACTGGTTCATGTTGAGGAATGAAATCTCGAAAGCTACAGTTGTGTTCGTATTCAATTTTTTTAGCAAGTTTAGGGCCAACATCGGTAAAATAATCATTAAAAACATTAACCAGTTCAACAGTTGATGTAACTGTTTTCTCTGGTAGATTAATTTCGTTAACAATATTTTGCTTCTTCCTTCTTCCTAGTATCTCATTAACTGATTTCCACGCATATTTTGGGTTCGTTTTGTTATTGAGGAATTTTGTTGCATAGTATTCCCTTTTAGCATTTCGCAAGGCAATATTTGCAGCTTTCGAGATGACTTGTACAGCTTCCAATCATTTTCATTATTGGTTTTTATTGCTACGCGCTTAAAGTGGTCTCTCTGAAACAGCTTATTTTTAACACTTTTATTGAACCAGGGAACATTACCCTTTTTCCTTAATCTTTTTAATCTCTTCGGTGCGTGTTTGTCAAGCACTTGAAGAAATAAGGTTTTCCAGCATTCCCACATTTCATCCACGTTTTGTTCGCAGTCAAGCTCTACCCATGGAAGCATATACAAGTCACTAACAAAGCTTTCAACATTGAATTTCCTAAAGTTTCTAAATTCAACCGAATTTTGAGAATTTCCTTTAATCACGGAATTTAGTTTACGTGTTGCATAGATTAAACTATGATCACTTATACCGAGATGCACCACGCCTGATTGAATAATTTTATCCGGAGAGGAAGTAATGCAAACATCAAGTAATGATTTTGTAGATTTGGTAACACGTGTAGGATCATGAATTATTTGTGTTAATTGGTACAGTTGCATTATTTCCTGAAGCATTTTAACATTCGACAAATTTGAATCGAGTAGATTACAGTTTAGATCACCTAACATGTAAACTTCTATGTTTTCATCATCCACTAATTCAATTAGCCTTACAATTTTTGAGAAAGTCTCAACAGTTGTATTTGGAGGTCTATAAACTCTCGAAAAAATGAAAGACTTACTATTGGCTTGTTTTATTTCCAAACAAACGGCTTCTAGTTCGTTTGGAATTAAATCTGGACGGTTTTCATAGTTTACATGACACCTAACGTATATACATACTCCCCCTCCATTTCGTTTTCGATCAGAGCGCAGTAAATCGTGACCCTCGATACTCAAAAGGTTGTCCGAAATAGAGGAGTCAAGGCGAGTTTCATTTAGTGCCAAGATATCCAATTTTTTATCATGCAATAGCAGGCGAATTTCGTCAAGGTGTTTCGGAAGGCTAGCTATATCGAGCATAGCCATTCTAAAACCTCTTAATTTAGGAATATCTGAACAATTCGTCTCATTATCTTTCCCCCTCGGCCTCTTATCATATCATTTTAATATATTTCCTATATTGGCTTGTAATAGGGCATTCCCTTCACGAGTTAGGTGTAAGCCACTGCGATTTAAATGTAAGCTGTTTATATTACTATTATCTAGAAACGACCAATTGTTTTCTTCACATTTCAGTTTCAAAGCAACATTGGTCTCTTTTACCTTACTTGCAAATTCGGGATTATCCGTTCTAATGATCAAGGATGAAATAATTATTCTTGTTTTCTTCGATTCCTGTTTGAACTGGTGTGCCACTTTAGTAACTTCGTCAGCAACATTCTGCGGCGTCGAACTTCGTATATTATTTGTGCCCACGTGTATGACCAGTTTATCAGGTTGCCTTCGAGTTGTTGGCCTGAGAAAGTCGTTCATATCCCCCCCGGTGGCGCCTGAAAAGGATTTTACTGCGACATTTTGCTCGGTATTAGATAGTTCCCACCCCTTCACGTATTTTATTATGGAATCTCCTGCTACAACAACAGTTTTCCTTTTCTGTTGTTGAGGCTGTTGTTCTTGTTGTTGTTCAGCTTTTGCCTGTTCTACTTCCTGCGGCTTACGTGATGCGTCATCTTTGGTTGTCTTTTTTTTTTACTTGGATTTCCTATTCTTTTTTTGTTGTACTTGATCTTCCTCAGTTTTCTAGTTTGATATTGCGCTTGATTCGCCGCTCGTTTTCCAGTAACGAATATTTGTTCTTTAATTTAATATTCGGGTTTATAATATCTTTTGACTGGGTGCAATCATCCACTTCATTGCACAGCTTTTGTTCAATAACATTGTTTTCTACTACGCTATTGGTTTCAGCAATTAGCAGACGCATGGCAGTAATTACGCTGTCCCTTTCTTGTTCTGCGTTTTTTGTCTTTTGTTGCAAGTCAGCTAGTATAAATGATAGGTTGTTGATTCTTTCGATGTTTTCATTATTTTCGTTTTTCAAAAGTTTGTTCTCGTCCATCAGTTTATAAATTTTTTCATTTAGGCAATCAACTTCGTTTTTTGATTCTTGAACTAAGAATGGATTGGAGAGCAGCCGTATTTCCGTTTACTTCTTTGGTAAGAGCTTGTACTTGGCTTTGAAGGGCCTCAAGGGACAACATTTGGTCATCTTGTACGGGACGGCTGTTTGCTGCAATGTTTTCGATAACATTAGGAATAGCTTCTTCGCATTGAATTTCATCAACAAATGGCCGGTTAACATCATTATCTACGTCTCTCGAGTCATTAATATTCAAAGTCGAAGCAAGATGCGTTCTTTCAAAATGGCCGTCCCGCTTCGATGCTTCTTTTCCACTTTCATTTGCCAGCTTCCCCGATATTACGGCAGCAGAATTGAATACCTCTCCGACTTCATCTTTTAGTTTACCGTTTAAAGTGATTGTTTGTGTATCGGGGTACCATCGAAGATCAATATCTTCGGATTTAAATTGTGTAGCACCACCTCCGGGGCAGCACCAACCGCCATCAGCTAAATTCAATATATCTTCTACAAACTTCTGTAAATCTTGTAAGGATTTTGTCCAAATCAACTTGCCTTTGTTGTTGAATGATACGCCATTCAGAAAACTCATTTTTGGCTAAAATTAAGCTTCAATCTTAGAAATCAAGTGTCGAAATAGCGGAGTTAAAATAACACGTCCGATCACGAAGGAGGGAGAGCCTCGTCCTGAGAGTGAGGAGCCTAGTCCTGAGAGTGTCGAACCTTGTCTTGACAAGGTTCCCCAATCTGAGGACAAGGATCCTCACTCTGAAGACAAGGTTACTCACTCTGATTACAAGGTTTCTCACTCGGAGGACAAGGTTCGTCACTCCGAGGACAAGGTTCCTCATTCTGAGGACAAGGTTCCTCACTCTGAGGACAAGGTTCCTCACTCTGAAGGCAGGTTCCTAACTCTGAGGACAAGGTTTCTCTTTCTGAGGACAAGGTTTCTTACTCTGAGGACAAGGTTCCTCACTCTGAGGACATGGTTCCTCACTCTGAGGACAAGGTTCGACACTCTCAGGACAAGGTTCCCCACTCCGAGGACAAGGTTCCCCACTGTGACGACGATGGCTTCTCTCTCTCTGAGGAAAAGGTCCTCACTCCGTGGACAAGGTTCCTCACTCTGAAAGCAGGTTCTTCACTCTGAGGACAAGGTTCGTCACACTGAGAAGGTTTCTTACTCCTAGGAAAAGGTTCCTCACTCTGAGGACAAGGTTCCTCACTCTAAGAACAGGGTTCCTCACTCTGAGGACAAGGTTCCTCAAGCTGAGGACAAAGTTACTCACTCTGAGGACAAGGTTCCTCACACTGAGGACAAAGTTACTCACTCTGAGGACAAGGTTGCTCGCTCTGAAGGCAGGTTCCTCACTCTAAGGAGAAGGTTCCTCACTCTGAGGACAAGGTTTCTTACTCTGAGGACAAGGTTCCTCACCCTGAGGACATGGTTCCTCACTCTGAGGACAAGGTTCGACACTCTCAGGACATAGGCACCTCAATCTCAGGACAAGGTTCCTCACTCGGAAGACAAGGTTCCTCCGTGTAAAGGCAGGTTCCTCACACTAAGGACAAGGTTCCCGATTCTGAGGACAAAGTTCATCACTCTGAAGGCATGTACCACAATCTAAGGCAAGGTTCCTCACTCTGAGGACAAGGTTCCTCACTCTGACGACAAAGTTCCTCACTCTGAGGACAAGTTTCCACACTCTGAGGACAAGGTTGCTCACTCTGAGGACAAGGTTCCTCATTCTGAGGACAAGGTTCCTCACTCTGAGGACAAGGTTCCTCACTCTGAGGACAAGATTCTCACTCTCAGGACAAGTTTCCTTACTCTGAAGACAAGGGTCCTCACACTGAGGACAAGGTTCCTCACTCTGAAGACAAGGTTCTTCACACTGAGGACAAGGTTCCTCACACTGAGGACAGGGTTCCTCACTCTGAGAACAAGGTTCGTCTGTCTGAGGACAAGCTTTCTCACTCTGACGACAAGGTGCTTCACACTGAGGACAAGGTTCCTCACTCTAAGAACACTGAGGAACCTTCACCTCAGAGTGAGAACCTTGTCCTCAGAGTGAGGAAGCTTGTCGTCAGAATGAGGAACCTTGTTTTCAGAGTGAGGAACCTGCTTCAGAGTGAGAAACCTTGCCCTCAGAGTGCGGATCCTAGTCATCAGAGTGAGGAACCTTTTCCTCAGAGTGAGGAACCTTGTCCTCAGAGTGAGGAATCTTGCCTGAGAATGTGGAACCTTGTTCTCAGAGTGAGGAACTTTGTCCTCATAGTGAGGAACCTTTTCCTCAGAGAGAGGAACCTGCCTTCAGAGTGAGGAACCTTGTCCTCAGATTGAGGAAACTTGTCTCCAGACAGAGGAACCTTGTCCTCAAAGTGAGAAACCTTGTCCTCAGAGAGAGCAACCTAGTCCTCAGACTGAGCAACCTTGTCCTCAGAGTGAGCAACCTTGTCCTCAGAGTGAGAAACCTTGTCCTCAGTGTGAGGAACCTTCTCCTCAGAGTGAGGAACCTTGTTCTCAGAGTGAGGAGTGCTGTCCTCAGAGTGAGGAGCCTTGTCCTCAGGGTGAGGAACGTTTTCCTCAGAGTGAGAAACCTTTTCCTCGGAGTAAGAAACCATCTCCTCAGTGTGACGAACATTGTCCTCAGAGTGAAGAACCTGCTTTCAGAGTGAGGAACCTTGTCCACGGAGTGAGGACCTTGTCCTCAGAGAGAGGAACCTTGTCCTCACAGTGAGGAACCTTGTCCTCAGATTAAAAACCTTGTCCTCGATGTGAGGAACCTGTCTTCAAAGCGTGCATCGTTGTCCTCAGTGTGAGGAACCTGATTTCAGAATGAGGAAACTTGTCCTCAGTGTGAGGAAGCTTGTCGTCAGAGTGAGCAACCTTATCCTCAGTGTGAGGAACCTGCCTGCAGAGTGAGCATCCTTGTCCTCAGTGTGAGGAACCTGCGTTCAGAGTGAAGAACCTTGTCCTCAGAGTGAGAAACCTTGTTCTCTGAGGGAGCAACCTTGTACTCAGAGTGAGCAGCCTTGTCCTCAGAGTGAGGAATCTGTTCCTCAGAATGAGAAACCTTGTCCTCACAGTGAAGAACCTGCCTTCAGAGAGAGGAGCCTTGTCCTGAGAGTGACGAACCTTGTCCCCAGTGTGACGAACGTTGTCCTCAGAGTGAAAACATTGTCCTAGATGGGGAACCTCAGATTAAAACATTTCTAGATGGGGAACCTCTCTTCAGAGTGAGGAACCTTGTCCTCAGTGTCAGGAAACTTGTCCTCAGTGTGAAGAACCTTGTCCTCAGAGTGAAGAGCCTTGTCCTCAGCGTGAGGTACCTTGTCCTCAGCGTGAGGAACCTTGTGCTCAGAGTGAGAAACCTTGTCCTCAGAGTGAGGAATCGTGTCCTTAGAGATAGAAACCTGCCTTCAGAGTGAGCAACATTGTCCTCAGGGTGAGGAAGCTTGTCCTCACAGTGAGGAACCTTGTCCACTGGGTGAGGAACCTTGTCCTTAGTGTGAGGAACCTTGCACTCAGAGTTAGGTACCTTGTCCTCATGGTGAGGAACCTTGTCCTCAGAGTTGGGAACCTTGTTCTCAGAGTGATGAACCTTGTCCTCAGAGTGAGGAACCTTGG